CGAAAGTATCAGCGTGGACCCGTGATTTAAAGAAAAATCGATTTTGTCACTCTGTCCGCTGAGACAAGCCAGGAACAACAGACACATCTATCCAGCACCCAGATCTCGGCTTCTAAATACCACCTTCAGGGCTTCTGCGAGAGAAACGGTTGATTCCAGGGGTGGGGCAGGGGGAGTGCCTGGTGGGCCTGGAACATCCTGGTGTACCAGAAAGTCAGGAAGTGCCCCAAGAAGGATGGGGGGGCAGTCAGTGTTTGATGGGGACAGAGGTCAGGTTTACGAGATGGAAAGGGTCCTGGACGTGGGTGGTGGGGATGGTGCACGGCATTATGAATGTGTTTAACGCCCACCAAACTGGGCACTGAAAATACTGAAGATGGTGCATTTTATGTCAAGTGCATTTTACCACAATAAAACAAATTAGGAAAAAAAAATAATATTCTTTCTATATGACCCAGCAGTTCCACTCCGAGGCATCCCCCCAATAACATAACAGTCACCATTTTGTGGCTGGCACAGCAGTAACTGGCCCAGGCAAGAATCAGCATGGGGTGTTAAATTATCGGGCAGACGTTGGTCGGGGAGCAGGGTCTCTGCATAATCTCAAAGTGTCTTCCTACGGATTCCTTTATTTTTTATTTTTTATTTTTTTTAAGTAAGCTCCATGCCCAGCGTGGAGCCCAGCACAAGGCTTGAACTCACGAACCTGAGATCAAGACCTGAGCTGAGATCAAGAGTCAGTGGCTTAACCGACTGAGCCCCCCGGGCGCCCCCTACAGATGACTTTTTAGTTACAAAGAGGAAACTGTCTTACTGGACAAGTGTCGTGAAGATGGTGTTTACATCACCAGGGGAGTATGATAAATGGGCATCGTGCCTTCCTGATAGGATGCAGCTGTGGGGAGCTGGTCGCTGCTGGGACGTTCCCACCAGAAGTGTGTACCCTGCATCTGACTGAGGAATCAGCCCACAGATCCACCTTGAGGCACATCCCACAAGATAATTCCAAAGAGTCAAGGTCATGAAAGGTCATGAAAGACAAAGGAGCAAGCCCACGCTGTCTTGTCTGGGATGGAAGGAGACCCACAAGGCATGGAGTTAAGTGCGGGGGGTGATCCTGGATGGGACACGAGCGTGGAAGGAAAGGTGCTATAACGGACGGAATCAGGACAACTGATGGGATTTTCGCTTGGGCTGTACATGATATAATATTATTCTACCAATGTGAGATTTCCTGAATTTGACCATCGTCCTTTGCTTACATAACAGAAGGTGTTTGTTCATAGGAAATGTTCATAGGAGTGCTTTAGAGTCAAGGTTCATGATGCCTCCAACTCACTCTCAAATTATTTAGAAAAACGGAGGAAAAGGAGGAGAATCTTTTCTATAGACTATCTTATATACTTTTAGATTATGTTTATAGGCAGATACAAAGCAAAAAGATTAACCACAGGCGGATCTAGCTCTGGGATCTAGATTTTTTTTCTGCAAAGGGCCAAATAGGAAATATTTTGAGCTTTGCAGGCCAGACTGTCTCTGTCACAATTACTCAACTCTGCTGTTGTAGCCAAAGCTGCCAGGGACAGTATGTAAATGAGTTGGCGGCGTGCCAATAAAACTTTATTTGCAAAAAACAGGCTTGGCACAGGTAGTTTGCTGGTCCTTGACCTAGATGAAGGGTATATGGGAGTTTGTTGTAATAGTTTTGCAACTTCTTTCCTAACTTTGTGGTCAGATTGTGGTCCTTAAATGTCACCTCCCATTAAAAAGAAGCAGGGCTACTTGGAGAAATGGCAAGGTCCAGGGCAAGTGCAGCGTGAGCCCAAAGCATCCCTCTGTGCCAGAACATGAACTCTTAAGGCCAGTGGGGGCGTGTCAGAAGGACTGAGGAGCCCACGTGCAGCGGTCTCCCCTGGCCGGAGACCCAGCCATGTGGGTACAACAAAAGAGTAACGCCCGCTCTCATAAAGCATACAATTCACCATCATAACCATTTTTAAGTGCACAGCTCAGCGGTATGAAGCACACTCACACCGTCCTGCGACCACCCCCACTCTCTGTCTCCAGAACTTTCCATCTCCCCACACGGAGACTCTGTCCCCACGAAGCACGGACTCCCCACCCCCTGCCCCAGCCCCAGCTCCCACCCTCTCCTCTCTGTCTCTGTGGACGGGACTCCTCTGGGGACCTCCTGGGAGTGAGGTCCTGCGGGATGTGTCCTTCTGGGTCTGGCTCCTCTCACTGAGCCCAGTGTCCTTGGGGTCCTTCCACGTCGTGGCAGATGTCAGGGTCCCTTCCTTTCTAAGGCTGGATCGTATTCCAGTATGTGGATGGACTGCACTGGGTTTCTCCTTTATCCATGGATGGACACTTGGGTTGCTTCGACCTCTTGGCTATTGTGAATAATGCTGTTGTGAACATGGGTGTGCAAGTATCTCTTCAAGACGCTGCTTTCAATTCTTTTGAGTGTTTTTTTTTTTAATAGAATAATTCCAGGCAAAAAATGCAGAGAAAATGGAAGTATTAGGATATCACCATTTTTGCCGTCCCAAATGATGTATCTAAGGAACGCTCCGCAGTGGCCGCTAAGACCATCAGGAGAAAGGCTCATGGGCAAATTCATGATGGATGAATCAGACTGATACCCCCTAAATCCAGGGATCAATTTTAACATGGAAGAGAGAGTGAATGAACTTGATGTTCCATTATGTGTCTCCTGGAGAGGGTCAGAGATGCAGGGACAGGCGCAGAGAGAACCAAGCAGAGGTTCAGTGTCTTCCGGTCGAGGCTCACAGCACCCCCTAGGAGTCCACTCTCATTTCCAGATAGATGAGCTTGCAGGGGTTACAAGAAACAAGGCACATGGTCTTTGACACCAGGGATACCACTTGCCCTGTCTGGAGGCTAGGGTACTCTACAGGACAAATGACCTGGGTTCTTAGACAGATAAATGACCAAGAAAAAAAGGTTGGGGGATGCTTCCAGATGAAGAGAGTTACAGCAGCCAAATGCCACATGTGGCCTTGGTTTGTGAGCAAACATTTGTGACTTATGCCCATCAGTGATGAGACACGCTGTCCTCATGGACCCAGGGAGGGGTCAGTACTGACTGAGGAGGGCTGGGGTCTCTGTCCTGGCTTCAGGGCAGCTTCCCCTTTAGGCCCAGGGCCCACAACACTTTGTGGGGCCTGTGCAAATGTTTTTAATTTCTTTTTGAGATTAGAAGAATAAAATGAATACAGCAATCATGAATATGTAATGAGCCCAGCCTGGATTTCATTAGTCTTTCTACCAACACTGTTGTAAGAAAATAATCATTAAAGGTTGCTTACGCAGGACGAGGCCCACGAAGGCAGCATACGTTGAGCCCACAAACGTCCAGGTGTAGCCCTGACTCGCCTCCCTGTTTTTGTAGGTTTGATATTTTCCACAATAAAAAAAAAGCTTTCAAAAGAGTTGGGTGACTCCTCGGCCAGGTGACCAAGGTGCACAGTGGTGGCGGGCTGACGCACGTGCTCTTGATACGACGCGGCGGAAATGGTCCTTTGCCTCTGTGGTCCTCCGCCCTAAAGCCCGTAACCCGAGCCCAGTCATGAGGAAAATACCAGGCAAGCCCCCGCCAAGGGACTGTCCAGGAGATACGGTCAAGTCCTAACCCACTGGGACATGGGAATGTGATCTTCTTTGAAAACAGGGTACAGGGAATGTGATCTTCTTTGAAAACAGATGTAATCAACTTAAGACGAGGTCATTAGGGTGGGCCCCCATTCACTATGACCGGTGCCCCTATAAGGAAGGAGAATGTAGACACAGACACAGACACACACAAGAGAAAGGGCCATGTGAAGACGGAGGCAGAGACGGAGGGGCGCGGCCACAAGCCAAAGGGCGCCTGGAGCCCCTGGAGGCTGGGAGAGGCTGGAAGGATCCTGCCCTGGAGCCTCCAGAGGGAGCACCCTGCCACACCTTGACTCCTGCCCTCCAGAACGGGCAGAGGACATTTCTGCTATGTAAGTCACCCACTTTGTGGTACTTTGTTTTAGCAGCTGGAGGAAATGAATGCAATCCCTGACCAGCGGGCTTCAAAACTACCCAGGTCATCAAAAACAGGGGAAGTTGGCAGGTTCTGTCTATCTGCTAGATTGGATGCTCCCTGATTCGTGAATCTCTGGAAAAAAGCCAGTAAGTTCTTTAAAAATCACAAACGAGGAAAGTCTGAGAAACTGTCACAGCCCAGCGGCGTCTCAGGAGACATGACAGACTCAGGTCGCGAGGTGTCCTGGCTGGGGTTCCAGGACAGGAAAAGGACACTAGGGAAAAACAGGCAATCTGAATAAAGGGTGGACTTCAGTTCATAACGAGTCAATGTTGGTTCATTAATTATCAAAAAAAAGGTACCACATTAATGTAGGATGTTTACAATAGGGAAACTGGCTATGGTTTCATAAGACAGCTCTCTGTAGTATCTTCACAATTTTTCTGTAAATAGGACTATTCTGAAAAATAAAGTGTATCTTTTTAAAAGTTTAAAAAAAAAATAGAAAAGGGTTGACTGAATCAGTATCTTGGCTCTGCCATCCCGCAGGCTGGAGCCTCAGTCAAACGAGAGCATTTCTCTGTGTCAGTTTCCCGATCTGAAAACAGGGGTGGGCCGGCTTGTGACACGGCCCTGAGGACAGTGGGGGACGGCCCTCCCGGGTAAGTGGAGCCGTCCCCATCCGCATCTCCCCCTTCATCCGAGGTGGTGGTGGCTCCTGGAGTTTGGGGTGAGTAGCAACACAGGCTGGGCTCAAATGCCGCCCCCCTCCCCCAGGCCGGGGAGAGACGCCGACTCCACCGCTCGGCTCCAAGCGCATCAGCCCCACACAGCTCCCAGGACGTGCCCTGCCCGGGTGCACGCACAACACCAACTCCCCCCTCCTTCCCCCCGTGGCTACCCCACCTGGGACAGGCGCCCTGAGAAGGGGCCGCGCAGTGAGGCACAGGACGCCCCTAAGAAATCATAGGTCTCCAGACATGTCTTTAATGTCTTGCAAGGGGCCCCACAGAAGGGGAGGGAATAAATACAGAGAAGTTGTAAGATGCAGTGCGCCCGAGCCCCCAGACTGGGAAGTGGGGGGAACGCCTGTGGCCTCAGTTTCCCTCGTCTGTAAACAGGGCAGGACACACTTTGAGGCGCAGACTCTGGAAGGGACAGCGTTCTCCGGGTCTCTCTTCCCGCCCAGAACGGGAAGTCCCCGCGCCACGCAGACCTCAGGCTGGTGGATGCCGCCTCCTGTGAGGAGGGGAGCTCGGAGTGACGTGTCTATAAGTCAAGGAACCCCGCTAGGGGGCGCCAGAGTCCGGTCCCTCGGACTGAAGGCCCGCTCCCCCCCGACCAGGCTAGCGCATCACCTCCGTGGGGGTCCGCGGCCTCTTCCCTGGAGAGGACCTACCCAGGGGTGGGTCAAGTCCCCGATCCCCTGCTCCCCTCACTTTTTCCTCCACCCTGCCATCCCAAGTGGCCGTTGTGCTCCCTTTCCGAGGAGGTAAACGGAGTCAAAGGAGGGCAAACGCGGGGGCTGTCCTGGCGAGGGTCGGAGAAAGGAGGGGGCGGCGACCGCCTTCAACCCCTGACTCACTCGCGGCCCTTCCGCCACCTGGACCTGGGGCTGCGCGACAGGGGGCATCGGGCTCACTGAGCACCGGTCCGCCCGCAGGTCCCGCCTGCCACGCGCGGGTCTGAGCCCGGGGGCAGCAGCGCCTGGGTCACAGCAGGTTGATCTCGTCCAGGTAGCGGGCCAGCACCGAGTCCCGCACGTCCTTGAAGACCTTGCGGATGTTCTGGGTGTCCGTGGCACACGTGTAGTGGCTGAAGAGGCGCCGGGAGCGCGGACCCCTCCTGTCCCCGTCCGCGCTGTCCACGCAGCCGGCGTACATGCCGATGTACATGTCCAGGATGAACCTCTTGGCTGCCTCCGCGTCCTGCTTCGGGCCTGGGGGGGCGGGGAGGGGTGGGCAGTCAGGGCACGCGGTTCGTGCGGCAGGCGGGAGACGCTCCCTCCCGAGCCACGCAGGGGGATCTGGAGACCCCGGCCCAGACGTGGACTACATCAGGGCGGCAGGGGCCGCAGGGACCGGGCACCGCGTGCAGGCCTGCGCCATCTTCGGTCGGTCTAGAGGGTCACATGACCATCAGGTCCAGCCAATGGGAGCCTCAGGAATGGACTCTGATGAGTCACATGACCTGGAATGGACCAATAAGACTTGGCTCTGGGACTTTAGGCAGAAAGAAACCCTCTCACTTGGCTGGGCTTGCAACTGAGGGGATGGGTACCTGGGGTGGCAGAGAAAGATCTCTCTGAGCAGTGCAGATGGGTAAACCGAGGCCAAGAGACGGGGAGGGTTGGCCACCCTGGGGAGGCAGCTGACATGCTCAGCCTCTCTGTTTCTGCGTCTGTCCGCATCTCTCTGTCTTAAGCACAATGCGAGCTAGGGCTCTTGGAGCCCAAGACCTGGCTCTGCTACTTACTAGTAGGGTTGCCTTATAGGGTAGTCCATGCAACTGCCGTGAACCTCAGTTCCCTCATTTGTAAAATGGGGATCCTAACAGTCCCAAGCCTCCCAGAGTTGTGAGGATTCAGTGCAATCATGTAGAGGGCTCTGTACTCAATAGTCAGAATGTTATCGTCATTCTTCCAGGAAGGCAGGGTACCCAGGGGGTAAGGCTGGTGGCTCCTGATCCAGATAGCCTGGGTTCAAATCCTGCCTCTGCCACTCACTGGCTATGTGGCTTTTGGGGAGTGTTTGCACCTCCCTGTGCCTCGGTTTCCCCATCTCTGTGGTGGTAAGAAGAAAGAATTCCACTGCACAGGGAGCTTCCAACGGTGTTCGATGTGTGAGCTATTGTTATAATCACAGATGTTATTAAGTACAAAAGAGGGAAGGACTGAGCGCCAGAAGTTGGCAAAGAGTACTCCAGCCTCTGGCTGGGAGAAAAAGATGAGTCATGAAGGTTCCCTTTGATGTGAAGGAAAACAATCCTTCAAAACTGTCCACTTTATCCCCATCCCCAAATTCTCCACGCCATGTTCCCATTCCCAAGGCTGCTCAGCTGGGGAGGGAGTAAGGGCTGTCCACTATGCTGGAATAAGTTGACATCTGTCTCCCAGGCCCCCACGTCTTCTGGATCTGATTGGTTGAGAGGGGCTCACATGGGCTCTGAGCCCTAACAAGGCCAAGGGTCACACCCATGGTGATGTCAGCAAGCTTAAGAGCTGCATCTGCTTGTGTTTTGGGGTGAATAGCATCCCCCCAAGTCCTTGTCCACCCAGAACCTCAGAATATGACTTTATTTGGAAATAGGGTCTTCAGATGTAATTAGTTAGCCTGAAATGGGGTCATACTGGATTGGGGTGGGCCCAGTAGCCAATGACTGGAGTCCTTATAAGAAGAGGAAAGGCACACACACACACACACAGAAGGCCATATGACAACTGAGGAGCTCAGAGTGATGTGTCTGTAAGTCAAGGAACCCCAAGGATTGCAGGCAACACCAGAAGCTAGTGGAGATGCTTGGGACAGATGTCCCCTCAGAGCCTCCAGAAGGAACCAATCCTGCTGACATCTTGATTTCACACCTCTGGCCTCCTTAACTGAGGGGAATACATTTCGGTGGTTTTCTGCCCCCTAGTTTGTGGCCCCAGGAAATGAAGCCAACTTGTCTCCAGCACGGCTGCCATTACTCCCCTCCCTGTAGGTGGGTGCCATTTGGCCGTCAAGAGGGGAGTCTGTTTGCCTCCTTTTGAGTCTGAGCTGGCCTGAGTGATTTGCTTGACCAATAGAGTGAGGCATCTCTAACCATCTGGGACTTCTGAGGCTCCCCCGACCCAAACCGGGGCTGAAGTCTGGCTACCCTGAAACAGCCATGCTGTGAGGAAGCCCAAGCCTCATGAAGGGGCCCTGGATTAGGAGACACCAGATGGGGCCAGGGAGGGGTGCGGGGTGTGGGGCAGAAAGCAGCAGAGGGAAGGAGGGGGAGGCAGGGAGGGAGAGGGGCGCAGAGCGATCAGACACACGGTGTTAGAAGTTGGAGGGGTATCTCGATCCCGGCCACCTCAGCTGATGCCATACGCATCGAAGATGAACTCACCCACCTCAACCTTTCCCAAGTTCCTGCCCCACAAAAATGTGAGCAAAGTCAAAGGGCTGCTCTAAGCCCCTAACCTTGGGGGCAGTTTGTGGCTCAGCTGGGATATTTCCACCAGCCCCTTCACAGTGGCCCTCCAGGGAGAGTGCAAGCCCATAAGCCTGTTCCTGGGACCCACTCAAACCCCACCTCCCCGCTCTGTAGGATATGCTAAACGGTGCCATGGCCAACTCCCCCATCCTCCTCTCCAGAAGGCCAGGCCCTTTGCCCCTCGGGCTGCGCTGAGGGCTCACTCCCAAACCTGCTCCTTAGTCCTGATTCATGCGTGCTTGCCGAGACACGACCGTGGCTACCGGCACCGCATGTAAGAGGGTTGCTGTATTTGTGAAAACCGAGCCATGTGCCTTGGAAGGACTTGTCCAAAGGTCAGGCACTGGTTTCCTTTTGAATCTGCTATCTTAGATATAGATAAGATGACTATGAAAGATCGAAAAAGAAGTCTCAAAAATCGAGGCAGATTCTGGAAATAATTGTTGACGCCTTCCAGGTGTGGCTTATGACAATGAACTCTACAGCAGACCCACACGCAAGAGAGCTACAACACCTGCCTCCTTAGAGCCCCCTGCTTGAAGCCACGGCATCAAGAGAGATGGCGGCTGTCACTTTGTCCCCATTCTGCAGAGGGGGACACTGAGACTCACGGCTTGGGTCTAGAACTCAGGTCGTCTGATCCCATTTGAAACTCCACTGACTCCGGCTGAGGTAGTCTGGACCAGCATTTCTCTTGGGAGCTGCTTTCGGGAGGTGAAAGGTTATAGAGAGTTCTAGGACCACTCACCCTGAAAACTGGGGAAGTAGGTAGCCAGGTGGGAGGTGGGGATCTTCTCCTCAAGGATGTCAGTTTTGTTGAGGAAGAGGATGACAGATGTGCTTTTGAACCAGGGCAGTTCCAGGATGGTGCCAAACAGGGCCAGGCTCTCCTTCATTCGGTTCTGGGTTGGGAGGAACAGGCAGGTTATTGCTCCAATGGCTGACTTGGCCCAGACAGGAGCCCCCCCTTCCATGTGGGGATGGGGTTGTCAACCTAACGTCCAGGAGCCTGGGGCTCCCCAGCTCCTGGCTGGGTCAGAGGGGGTGTGCCCATGCTTTTGTGTGGCCTCTACTGGTTTGACTAGTGTCCCCCACAAGTTCATGTCCCTCTGGAACTTCAGAATGGGACCTTATTTGGAAATAGGGTCTTCGAAGATGTAACTAGTTAAGAAGAGGTCATAGTACTGGGTGATAGACACTGGGGAGGGTATGTGCTCTGGTAAGCGCTGTGAATTGTGCAAGACTCTTGAATCTCAGATCTGTACCTCTGAAACAAATAATGC